AAAACCCAAACACCATAGGCGATTTTTCAAGAACAATCTTCATCCCAAATCATTTGTAAGTCGATTTTTACTCAATTCTTTCAATCTTTAACATCATTTAACATGTTTTCCACTTAAAATCAAGGATTTTCATGGGTGAAATTGGGGTTTTTGGGTAGAACCTAGGTTTTCTAAAAATTAGAGATTTGGACCTCGGTTTGAGGTCCGATTTAAAAACAAATTACATATTTGAATTCGTGGGGGAATGGGTAACCGGGTTTTGCTTCGAACCTCGGGTTTTGACCATGTGGGCCCGGGGGCGATTTTGGAAGTTTTGGGAAAAACTTGGGAAATTCATTTTTTATGCATTCAAATTGATTCATACAGTGTTTATTAAAGTAATTGAACAATTTGTGATTAGATTCGAGCGAATTGGAGGTGGAACCGCGAGGTAAAGCGATAGTTGAGGATTAAGTGGATTTCAAGGCTTTGAGGTAAGTGTTTGGTTTAACCCTAGCTTGAGGGAATAGGAGTTGAGTCTTGTTGCTAATTGCTATGTGATCGAGTACGATGTATAGGCATGGTGACGAGTATCTATACATTGGTGTCTAGCATGACCGTGAGTCCTTATAATGTGATTATCATGACTTGGTTGTGAACTCCGTGTTTATTGGAGGATTTCTATATGTTGTGAATAACATGTGAACGGTGATTTGATCATTTGATCCTAGGAGCATTGGCTCGAATTGTGATACGAATATTGAAAGTATATGAAATGACTTGAATCTGTGGAGCGTTGGCTCAAGATGGTAGAATGGATTATAAGATAAGAAAAGTAAGAAAGAGAAAGCGTTGCTGATTATTCCCTTGCCGGGACGTTTGGTTGAACTTTTTGGTTTCTTTCCCTTGTCGGGATTTTTGTCAAATATTTGCTTTTTTTTTATGCCTCTTAATCGTGACTGTTGTTTGGGGAGTCAGGCTGTTAAATGATGTGGATCGGGTTGCGCGCCGCAACAAAGATATTGAGGATCGGGTTGCACGCCGCAACAATAATATGTGAGGATCGGGTTGCGCGCCGCAACAATGATACATGATAAATGATGGGGTCGGGTTGCACGCCGCAACAGTGGTATTTGTGGATCGGGTTGCACGCCGCAACAGTGGTATTTGTGGATCGGGTTGCACGCTGCAACAATGGTAAATTGTGGACCGAGTTGCACGCCGCAACAGTTATTGATACCATGTGTTTATATTGAGTATTGTTTTCCTTGTTCATTGTGAATCTAAGCTGCTTTAGTTTGTTACTCGGAATTACTGTTACTATTGTTATCTCCCCACAGCATGTTTCCCCCTCCCATATTGCTAGTTGTTTGGTATTTTGTTTCCGTTGTATGGTTATAACTGCACAGGTTTATGTGGTGTCCGGTCTAGCCTCGTCACCACTTCGTCGGGGTTAGGCTAGACACTTACCAGCACATGGGGTCGGTTGTGCTGATGCTACGCTTCTGTGCATTTTTGCATAGGTCCAGGTTTTGAGGAGCAGCAGCAGCATTAGTACGGGAGCAGGCTTTCATTATCACGAGACCCAGGTAGCCTTACAGGCGTCCGCAGGCCCGGCGTCTCTTCTTTATGTTCTCTTTTAGACTGTTGCCTCCTTGTCTCGAGACAGACAACTTCTATGTTTCTTTCAGACCTTTGTATTTAGTATATTCTTAGTGGTTCGTGAGTGATGTGACACCAGATCTTGGGTAGAGGCTATTATTAACTGTTCCGCGTTTTAATTCAGATTTATAAATCAGACTTCCGCTATTATTCTTAGTAAATTTCATGTTCTATATTGATGCTATAAATTGTTAAAATAATTGTTTAGTGATGAAAAGGTAAATAAGTTGGCTTGCCTAGCTACCACGAGTAGGCGCCATCACGATCCCGATGGTGGAAAATCCGGGTCGTGACAAGTGGAGGACTAGGTTTAGAGTCACTATTTTTCCCGACGTCATCTTCAACGCAATCTTTCCAACTCCTTCAATTTTGGCTGTAGACGAATTTCCCATGAAAATTGTCTCGTCGGGTCCTGCGGGGGCATAAGAAGAAAATAACTCCTTGTTAGCACAAACATGGCGGGTGGCTCCAGAATCTATCCACCATTCTTTATAATTTCCTACCAAGTTGCATTCAGACAACATGGCACACAAGTCCTCCATGTCTTCAACATTTTCAACCATGTTTGCTTGATTTTTCTTCTTCTTTTTCTTTTGTACATCATTCTTTGGTGCACGACAATCCACAGCCTTATGCCCAGATTTTCCACAGTTGTGGCAATTACCCTTGAACTTTTTCTTGCCTGGGTAATTCTTTGGTCCAGAAGCTTTCTTTATTCCGGAAAACTTTCCGGATTTTTCTGCTGGTGCCATAGCATGAGCAGGAGTTGAACGGCTTGACGAGGCAGCCACATTTTTAACAATAGCACCCGTTCCCGCAACATTTCCATTAGTTTGGTTTTCATTCGTCATTTTTTTCTGTAAAGTTGGAAACAAAACAGAACTTGGTTAAATCAGTGAAGTTTTGATATCTTCAAACTGAATACCAAACCAAACATACAACACTTAACAATGGTGAAGTTTTTATATACTTCAAACCCGTACGTTTATTATTCCGGTAAAGTTTTTATATACTTTAAACCGGACAGCCGGTACGTTTTATTATTCCGGTAAAGTTTTTATATACTTTAAATCGGACAGAACAATTATTGGAGTAGAAAGCACGAAGGCTTTAGTCTCCAAAACAGTATACAAAATATGAATAACAGTTTAATATATTTTTCAACACAGAAACGTTAGTATAAAATTCCTTAAGCTTGTGAATGCTACTGTGTTAAAACACAAAATAAGAAAAAAAACTATTAGAAAAAATAAAAGAAACTGGAAAAACAGAAGAGTTTAAGAAATATTCCGAGTCCACAATTTGCTTGTGTGTCCTTAAGGAATTTTAACCCCCTCACACGTTGCCAAGATAATGGATTAAATCCTCCCAGGATAAAACGGAATAAACCTTCCTGCAACAGTGGCAATACAAACTGTAGAATACCAACGAACTTAAAGAACGGAGCAAAATCACACTTACGAATTTGAAAGAGAGAGACTACGAATTAGGATGCAATATATTCAAAAAGAAAGAAGTTCTGGAGTATTTTTCGTGTGTAGAAAATGGAGCCTTGCCTCAGAATTTATAGGCAATTATCAGAAGAGGTGTCTGGAAAAGGTGCCTTTTCACAAGAATACGCTGCCTGCCGCGGTTCTACCGCGGTTGCGGCAGAACCGCGGTCAGAGAGGCTTTCTGAACCTGCCTGCTGCAGTTCTACCGCGGTCGCAGCAGAACCGTGGCCAGAGAGGCCCTCTGAACCTTCAGCAGGGTTCTGGCGTATTTTCAGCAGTGATTTGGCATTTAATTAATTAATAAATAATTAAATAAATTTTGTCCAAAAATAATCTTATCGATCCAATTCCAAATCCAAATCCAAATCCGAAGCCGAAGGTTCTACCGCGGTCGCGGCAGAACCGCGGCCAGAGAGGCCCTCTGAACCTTCAGTAGGGTTCTGGCGTATTTTCAGCAGTGATTTGGCATTTAATTAATTATTAAATAATTAAATAAAATTTGTCCAAAAACAATCTTATCGATCCGAAGCCGAAGCCGAGCGAGCGACGGCGACGGCGCGAGGGTTCATTCTCTTCAACTCTTTTTAAGAGCTTTAAGAAGTGATTCTATATATAACCACACAAATGTGGTTGTCCCTCACCAATGAGGGACAAAGTGCAAGACAAAAGTTCACTTCTTCAAATTTTCAATTTCCCTCAATTTCCAATTCACACTTCTTCTACTTTACAGCCCAATGGCTTAAAGTCCAACAGAATCTTAGTTTGTAGTACTTTTTATATTAATTTTTAATATTTATTTTTTAAATTTAAAATTTAAAATATTAAATTGATCCATGAAAGATTATTTACATTGACTATTAAAAAGGGAAACATGACAACTAAAAAGGAACGAAGTGACTATTTAAGAACAATGGAAAGTTTAGAATCTAAGTTCAATTTTTAAAACTCTATGGGCGCAGACACTAATTTTCAACTATCAAAGTGAGTCAAAAAGCAATTCACTTTATACTCCCAAGTTTGTATTTCTTTACTTCAGAAAAGTCCCTCATTGCTTACACACATCTCCTTAAACCCCACTACGTACAATACCAGCAGCATAACGTACAAGCTAGAGAAACATGGAAGCGAAGATTGGAAAATTCATCGAATCGGTCGGAAATTTCTTCTGCGGCGGAGATCAGATTCCCTGGTGCGATTCCGATATTGTCACTGTAAGTACCTTATTTATCAATAATTTTGCAATTTGATTTATAAAGCTTTGGTGGGTTTATTAGTAAATTGCAATTTTATCTATACATCTGTTTTTTTCATTTGAATCCTATAATCTCTAGGTATTCGTGCAGACTCAGTGAAAGACTGAGCATAGCGCTACCTAGTAGTTGAGAATATGTTTGGGATGTTAGCACTTTTACTGTAGGTCCTTGCTATTTAGGAATGATTTAGCCTTTCAGAGATTTATAAGTTCAGAAAATATGGAGAACTTATAATAATTTATAGGTGTATTTGCATAATATTAGGATGAGAAGAGTTTAAATGGTGTAACATGGCCAGCTGACTCCAAATTTGGTTGGGGCGGAGGCGTAGTTGTAGTTTGTTGTTGCTAACTCGGATAGGTTTTGTGGCAATTTATGGAGTAACCTTGTTTTGGTGCATGCTGAGGGTTACTTTAGTTGAAGGTCGTGTTGTGTGTGTGTGTGTGTCTATTTGTGTTTTTTGGGGGAAAGGGGGGGGGGGG